TTTTTTTTGTGGCACTCTTCATCGCTATTGGCTACTGCCTCCCGTCCACAGGACCTGGTTTTGGAAAAGTTCAAGGCGGCTCTGGGGGCCAACCTCAGCTCGCCGTTTTCAAGAACGCGGAGCCTGTGAAAACGTCCACAGGCGATCTTCCAGGCCATGCGGGCTGTGGGGTCCCAGAATACGGTTTTTGGAAGACATTTTGGCCTTTCCATAAACTTTTCCGCGAGGTGTGGGGTCCTGCAAACACTTCTGCGGCGAAGTTTTTCCTTTCCACATTCCTGTGGGGTCCTACCCTTAGGGCCTCACTGCACTACTCTCTACATGCACAAAAGACAAAAATCATGGCGGTGCATCTTTCCATATTCTAGCGGAAGATTCACTCTCGTTTTGCACATTTCGAGAGTAGTGCAGCGAGCCCCTTAGGGCTGGACTCCACAGGCCAAAATCTTGGAAAACGGGCGACGCGAGTGCTTTTCCCGGACCCCACTGGAAGAAATTGGGTTCCTGGAAAGTGTTTTTTTTGTTGATTTTTCTGCTTCCCGGGACCCTACAGTCTGGAAAAGTGTTCCTGGAAGATGGCACTTTGACGTTTCCACATGTGGTTTCGGTCCGAGATGTGTCATTTTCTGTAGTTGACGGCACTATTTGGGATAATCGGTAGAAGGCGCCCACGCCAAAACCTTTTCGGTTTTGGCCGCCCAAAGTTTAGCCGTTTGGTACTACCGGCCCAATGACTAGCATGTGGGGTACTACAGGCCCACGCGTCGCTCCAAGGGCCCTACCGAATCATGAATCTGGCGCATAACAGCGCCAGATTCATTTTGATGTAAAAGAGGCCGGGGGTGGTAACGCTGAAGTATCGAATGAGGCCCACGTACACGATTTTGAAAAAGAAGGGCCCTATCGGTTCATGAATCTGGCGCAGAAACAGCGCGGAATTCTTGAACCGGTAAAAACAGTCCCAGGGAGATGTGGCCACGGCCCGAAGGCGCCTTTCACCCAAGGGAAAGTTGTTTGGGTCGGTAGTACCAATCGGCCGAACTTTGGGCGCCCAAAACCGAAAAGGTTTTGGCGTGGGCTCTTTCTACCAATTATCCCGCACTATTTTGTGGCAAACGGACTGGGTAGGCGGGGGGGGGCTGGAAAAGTCTGGAAAGCTTCCTTGCACGACCCGGGTCCGTGGAGTGTCCGGTAGGTGGCACCTTACGTTCCAGCGGCCACACGCCGCCACCCACACCTCCCGAGTCGGACATCGTGGGCGGCCATACCACCCCAACGGACTTCGCTGGTCCACAATGACGGCACGAGCTTGGAAAAGTCTGGAAGAAACCGCTTTTCCAGGCCTTTTCCAGCCTCTTTGGTGGGGTCCCGTCGTTTCATCCACGGAATCTTCCAAGTGCCCTTTCCACGATTTCCAAAAATAACGCACTTTTCCAAGGTTTTACCAGTGGGGTCCAGCCCTTACTCTCCACATTTGCAAAACGAAAGTGAATCTTCCGCTAGAGCATGGGAAAATACACCCCCATGATTTTTGTCTTTTGTACAAGTCGAGAGTGGCACAATAAGGCCCTTTTTTAAAAAAAAAGGACTGTCTTGTTTCGCAGAGAGTTGCGTCCGGATCTTCTGCATCTGCACGATCCACGCTGCGGCAAGGTGCAGTCCTTCGTGGGATCTGGAACTTCTGCATCTGCACGATGCACGTGGCTCGGTGCAGTCCGTCGTAAGCACCTGGCAAGTGGGGGCATCCAAGTGCAGAACGCTCGGCGATGGGCCTCGCTCCACTACTCACCACGTGCACAAAAGACCAAAAAAATGCCACTGTGCCTTACACATGCTCTAACGAAAACCTGATTCGTATTTTGCACATTTGGTGAGTAGTGGAACAAGGCACTGTATCTGGGTACCTGCCCCCCCACCCTCTCTTTTTTTTTGGTAATCTAGTCTCGCATCGTGTATGTCTCGTCTTCCCCTTCGATGTCCTGTTTTTTTGTATTTGAATCATTTCTGGATGTAGGCGTGCTCTCTCTCTCACTCTCTCTCTCTCTCTCTCTCTCTCTCTCTCTCTCTCTCTCTCTCTCTCTCTCTCTCTCTCTCTCTCTCTCTCT